CTCTTGCTTAGAAATTGATATAAAATACAATTGGCTTGAACAATCTAAATTTTATTTGTGCAAAGAAATTTTAACAGCATGACTTCTTTTTTTTGGCACAAGGAAAATACAACCAAATCTTAACATGTAGATGACTGGGTTAGGAGTTCTATATGGTTAGATAGATATAAGTTATTTCAGTGATCTGGATTGTCTTTTTGCTTGGGGATTCTCAGACAGTTATTACACTATTAAAATTAATAAGAATAAGTGGTGAGCAAAGTGAGTATGTGCTACGCATGTTGCAATCATGAAAATATGCCCTGCAGCGAAGATCATGATTCAGGCAACTTTGTACAAGACTAGGCAATAAGTGAGGAAAAGAGAAGGAAAAAATGATGGTTATATGCATGAAGATTTCATAGGACGTTTTTGCTTAAAGAGAAGACAATGGGTCTGGACTTAAGGGAGTTTTAGCTCCAAATTAATCCTCCTCACCAAGTCTTGAAGCACCAAAATTGACTGTTAAGCTAGTAAATTGGCTTCCAAGCTAGTAACTATAGGGTCAGACGATATTGAAAATTAAAATAAGGATACTCTCGAACTTGCGACCAAAAAACTGAATAAATACAAACCTATGATTAAAACAAAGTAAATACCTAGCATAACAATAAGTGATCAGAAATCTAAGGAGACAGTAATTCTGCATAGTGATGACATAACGCATGCTTACTCAGAATACGTGCAATTGGACACCAGTAAGAGCCTTCACCTGATAGTGAAGTTCAAAAATTGATCAACAGTATGAACAGAAAGGATGATCATGAGCAGAAGAAATAATGTGGAAACTCTTTGCTGCTCCATCAAAACTCTATACTCTTGCAGGATCTTTCTGTAGGAATCCATTTAACACAAGAGTCGTTAGGAGAAAGAGTATTGCCTTGGAAGAAAAAGCAGAAGCCCTGGGGAGGGCAAGAAACAACACTTGTAGAAGTTGCCAGCTTTGAGTTATTGGTGACTCATTGTAATCAGGGAAAGAGAACAGGAGGAAGAAAAAAGAAAGCCTTTCTATAGGAAGACAGGAAGAATTAAGAGCTGAGTGCACGATTGCTGTCAAGAAATGGAAGAAATGGAAAGGCCACATACCCAGGGAAACCAGGATAGAGACAGAGCCTGAATCAGAACTATAGAGAAGGTAATTCCCACCCCTTCTCCTGTGAAGTTAAAAATCTTCAAATACAAGTCACAGAGCTCTGCTGGTAGAACAGCAAGAATCTGCACAGAACGCTGCAACTCAAGGGACATTGTTTTGATGTATGGCTACAACCTTAAAACCCATCTATGTAGAGCAAAATCCTAACAACAACAATAGAAAAGTAGTTACAGGCATAATTTCAAGACCTGCAATGAAGTGACAATAATTAAATAATTATGGCATTAGAGGAAGGACAGACATAATCAATTAATATATGGCTGGGGGTTGTGATGAACCAGGTTAAGTTTCCACCTGTAATGCTGGTTTCCCATAAGAGTGCCGGTTCAAATTCTGACTGGTCTGTTTTCAACCCTGCTCCCTGAAATGGCCTGGAAGTAACAGCAGAAGATGGTTCAAGTCCCTGGGCCTCTGCACCCTCATAGAAGACCTGGAAGGAATCCCTGACTCCTGGCTTCAGTCTGGCCCAGCTCTGATCATTACAGCCATTTGGGATGGAATCTCTCTGTCTTGCTTTCTCTCTCTCTTCCCTCCTTCTTTCATTGTTTTTTTTTAAATAAAAATTAAATAAATAAAATGCAAATACCTCATTTAAAAATTAATGTAATAGAATAAAGCTGCAGGAATACAGTCACCCAGATGTTACCAACTGAATTTTGACAAAAGATGCAAATGCAATTTAATGGGAGAGTGTTCTTTTATTTAAAACATCATACTGAAAACATTAGACTTAATATAGAAAAATTATAGAATTTCAACAAATGTGGTGGGAAGCTAATTCAAAATGGGTCATAAACCTCAACAGAAAAAGGAGGAGAACAAGAGAAGCTTCTCATGTTCTTCTTTTCAGAATTTGGAGGACACAATGTGATAACCTCAGCATCTGAATTTAAAGTGTAAGGATCAAATCAGGTTGGTTAGAACTTCCCCTCAAGCTTTTTTTTTTAATTATGAATAAGAATTGTGGATCATTATGGAGAACACGATGACATTTCAATAATTGTATACATTGAATAATGATCAAATTGTTATGATTTCATAATTGAAGACTGAGTTCTTTTCTTCCATTTGCTCAGGAACTATCTTGCAGGTTGTTGTTAACTTGCCAAGACTAGTGAGTGAAACTTTATGGAGAAACAGAGGATGTTAAATCTCAAGAGATCTTCCCAGGGTTGCTGTGGTAACCTCAATATATTGCTTCGGGTTCCATGTTCTTGTTTGAACATGAGTGCCTTAATTCCCAAATGCTTTGGTGTGGGTTGGGCCTGTTATTAGCTGCAAGTAATACACCATAGAAAGGGAAATATTGTGGCTACAGTGGAGAAACCCAGCAAAAACATTTCAACCAAGTTGCCAAGATTAATATCAAGAGTAATTAGTGATGCTGATAACATTTGCCCCCAACTCGATGTGATGAGAAGAGCTATTAGTCTTGTGATTTGTTCCCCAGACATGACAAAATATCAAACGAACTGAAATACAGAAACAGTTTACAGAGGAGCTGATCACTTCTCTTAACGTCCAGCTGAAGGGGGGTGAAGACGGACACATGACATCCGGTGGGAGGAGACATGGCAAGTCAATCCCACGCAGTGTCCTAAACTGACCATGAAAGAGAAGATGCCTGCTGTGACTAGGAAAAACAGAGAAATCTAAATGTGCATATGTAAGCTTGTATAGGTGCCACAATAGTCATAAAGATCATAATTTTAGAGGAAGCCCTTTGAAAGATGTACAGGTGAATGCTGAGCTATCTTCCTAAAGAACTTTGAAACTAAAATTATTTCAGAATTAGAAAACTTTTCTTGAAAAGAAAAAAAATACTATAACTTTCATTAATTTTATTTCCCTTTGAAGAGAAGCTCCAAGTAACTGAACCCAAAAGAGGAGCAAAGAGGAAAAAAAATTAATTGATTTTGCCATGCAGCTAATAACTGAAATTCTTCTTAAACAAACTTGTATGATAATTTCATTTCCTGCAAATAGGAATTTTGTTGAAAGAACTGGAACTTCTGAAGGAAACGTGCAGGCTTCTGTCCTCCTGGGGCCGTCATTAAGCCTTCAGCAATTAATTTACAGCTTGTTCATATCCGTACAGTGAGGGGGGATGCTGTGCCCTCGGAGGAGCCTCTTGGACCCCACCTTCCATCGGCATTGCTAAAGATTGCAATTTGCATGATAGTTGCCTCGATTGTCTATCAGACTAGACATCACTAATCAGATGTTATAAACCACAGGTCAACGTCTCACTCTAAATCCTGTGGCTATTGTCCTGAATCACAACAAACCAGGGAGGCGTAAAACAAGAGGACATTTCTGCCCCCAGTTCTTGAGGCCAGCCAGAATTCCAAAATCAAGATGTCAACAGGCTTGTTGTCTCACACCCCCACCAAGGCCTTGGATATGAGATCGGGGCACCTGTGACAGGCTTCTGCTAGCCCCCTGTATGTAGGGTTACATTGCCTCTATTTTCTGACCTTCTCTTCATATCATGTCCTTTTTCTATACATCTGTATTGTGTGGCTCTTGTATTGACATTGTCTTTGGGTTTATAACCATTGTGAAAATTCTAGGATGATCAAATCTGCAGATCCTTAACTTAATTATATTTGCAAAGACCCCTTTTCCAAGGAAGGTACCATTTACAAGCTCTGAGAATGATTGATGAATAGTACATCTTTCCAGGCAACCATTTAAATCAAGTAATATACTATCCTTCCAATTGGGTTTTTCCACTTCTTAAGTTGTACTGCTTTCCAGCATTTATAACAAAGATTCACAATTTGGTCTTCTAATGTTAGTGACAGCAATTTGTCTGTCTTATACAATCATTATACTAAGGCTGATTTCAGATGTTCTTCAATTTGAATATAATAAAAATTACACTGAGACTTGCAAAAATGCAGGTTTCTGATCTTATTTCCAATTTTTCAATAAATTAGATCAGGGTTCTGTATCTTGAACAACTAGCAGATATCCATCATGATTAAGAAAAACACAGCAAAGAACTTGTGAAAGTTTAGACCTATTATCATTCTTCCCAAATAAAAGCAAGAGGAAAAGCGATGAAAAATAATTTGAAAAGTTTAATGATATTTATATAGTAAAACTATAAAAATCTTTTAAATAAGGTACATTCAATTTTTCAGAGCATCTAATATTCAGATAATTTATATCTCATATACTTTCCAACATTAAACCATTGACTAAATAATGCATTTCCTACAAAATGATATTACAGCTTATAGATAAAATTATATTATTAAAAAACACTCCATATAGAAAAAAAGGCAGTACCTATTAGAAAATCCTACAAACTTTCCATTAAAAATATATATTTTATCTCTCTCATTTTTCATAATAATAAACAATATATTTTTTTCTTTCTGAAATTAAGTCACACACTGCTTCTCTTTAGGAGAATATGTACAAATCTTCTAAGTGAATGAATATAAATAGCAATACTGTAATAGTGTTACAGATACATTAGTAACTTTTACAGAAAAAAAAAAATAATGGCTTTCTAATAAAAGCCACTAACACAGCTGAAATCTCCAAGCTATTTAAGTTACACATTCCCTTATTTAGTAAAGCACAATGGAGTCTATGTTTTGTGGTTTCCAGTTGAATTACTGCAAGCAGTAATAAAAGGAAGACAGTCAGTAGATACGGGGCCAGATCTAACAGTTGAATAAACTATTTGGGATTTACTGAACTTTGGAGGAGCTGCTACTTCTTTCTTCACATCATAGTTCCTTCGGGTGCCCTGCCCCAAATTAGCCATTGGTGATGAGAAAGATATCATTGTCTCCTCTCGAGTGCCTGAGCAACAGCCTACTCAGCCGTCAGATCTGGCCCCTTTGGAAAGGAAGAGCCCAGTGGCTAGTTTCCATTATTTTCCATTATAAGCAGCTTATTTTTACAGATTGGACCTGGTTCCCTATCATCTCTAGGAACAGCTTTTGGTACAGTCTGTACATGGTGAAGCTGTGCAGGAACCTGATGGTCTTCCTCAGACTCTGAGTGACGCTTTTGGGGAAGTGGTAGGTTTTCAGGTGCTTCAGTGCGTGCATGAGGCCCTTCAAGGTGTCTTGGTCGCCGTTTTTCGTTCTCCAGAGGCTGAGCAGCTTGGGGAGCTGCTCACTTGACTGGCAAGCCTTCCTTGCTTTTTCAATGTCTTCTGAGCCTACTTTCTTCCCAGGCAAACTTTCCATCAAACTGCGAAGCTGATCCAAGGTGAGATTTGCGTGCCCAATGTGCCGCTGCACACTCTTTTCACAGAGATCGATATCTGTGTAACACAAGAGCCCAAAAAGAATTTATGTCGTTTATGTTCATCGGATGCCGTCCCAAAACCAACCTGAGGCAAGACCGTCTCATGCACTTCCATGGCTTTACTCTAAGGGTAAATTTTCTCTTTCTGTTTGTGTGTTTGTTGGAGGGAGGAAAATGGAGTGACCCCAGTCATTTCTTGGAACAGAGATAAATAATGTGTGTGCTACAGTGGGATAATATGCTATTTATTCTAGGCATCCATTACAACTTTCTGAGACGCCTCGAGCTTTGAAAATTTACACTGTAAAAGTACAGACGTATCAGTTTAGTTTTCTAACAAAAGGTTGAGAGTGAAACTAACATTTCATAAAAAGGGAAGCAGTATTCAAATGAGGTATGAATACTTCATTAGTTAACATCTGACAGAGGCACTATTTGAAGGGTTGCTTTAACCTCTCCTTAATAAATATATACAGCACTGGAGGGGTCCTACCCCGAGGAGGATATATGAAAATCCCATCATATGAGGCCGAGGAACTAAACGATTCACGCAGCTGAGACACTTTGGCAATGATCCTGGGAGTAAACTTAAGAGGGAGAAACTTACATTCCTATTAATGACTTAAGTCATTTTGTATCTGAACCCCCCCCCCCCAGGCAAGTCAGTTTATTTTTCTGGGTGACATTGTCCTCATTTATAAAAAAAAAAAAGGAATTTGATTATGACAGTCCTGGATTCTCCACTTTCATTTCTTATCACTTGAAGGGGTCATTAGGCACTCAAAGAAGATTTTGACTTGCCGAACTAGAAAAAAACTTGCTCTCTGCATAAATGGAAGCATTCAGTTATGAAAGATGTTAGTTTTCTGAACCTGTTCTCTGCGTTTACTTTACCATTAGTTATGTGACTTAGTTCTACACTATCCTGAGCACCTCAAAGTGAGACTGTGGGCAGTGTCTACCTTACAGAAATCTTCCTCATCTCTCCCTCTCTTTGCTCTCCTCTCTCTCTCTCTCTCTCTCTCTCTCTCTCTCTCACACACACACACAATCTTTCTAAAGGTGATTCCTTTTAGACCATTAAAATATAAGAGTACTTGGTTTTTAGTAGCCCTTTATTCCAGAAAACTCAAGTGATTTTCAGAAGTTATCTCATTAATTCTTACCACATATATTTAAACAGCCATTTTTATATGGGCTATGCTGTAAGGATTAATGGAAAGCTATCTGAAGACACTTAACAGCCTCCCAGACAAAACTGCCAGGTGTGTACAATAGTTTTTTGGTAGAAATGAAGGAGATAGCCAAAATGGTTAAAAATTTCTCTTCTTGGGCCCGGTGCAGTAGACTAACAGCTAAAGCCCTCGCCTTGAACATGCCAGGATCCCATATGGGTGCCAGTTGTGATCCTGGCAGCTCCACTTTCCATTCACCTCCCTGCTTGTGGCCTGAGAAAGCAATGACATTTGGCCCAAAGCCTTAGGACCCTGCACCCATGTAGGAAATTCAGAAGTTCCTAGCTTCGAATTGGCTCAGCTGTGACAACTGTGGCTGCTTGGGGAATGAATCGATGGATGGAATGTCTTCCTCTCTGTTTCTCTTCCTCTACACATATCTGCCTTTCTAATACAAGTAAAATAAATCTGTGAAAAATTTTTTGCTTAGTAAAATATACAAGACATTAATAAAAGAAAAAAAGGATCAGAAAGCAGACTCCTTGGAGTGTAGCCTTGTGTTTAAAGTATGTTTCTCTTCTTTTAGAGTGCTCGGTACGATCTGGAAAGAAATTAGGGCGTACAGGTGTGCTGTGGCTGTGTGAACTATATCCTCATTATCACACGATGAAGTTGTTCAGTCCAGCCAGAACTACGCAAAGGAAGCATTTCCACACAACTAAGCAAGCAGCTAGTCTTGCTGCTGTTTTGTGATAAAGGAGCATGTTTGATTTCTGGTTGGAATGTTGATTTGGGTTCCTACCTTGGATGATCTTCTTGACCATATCTTGGTCTTTGTTTTGATGTTTCCACAACTTGAGCAGCTGGAACGTTTGTTCTTGTGAGCTATGCCGCCGTTTTATTCTCTCTACGCTCTCTGCATTTACTTTGCTTCCGGGCAAACTGTCTACCAGAACACTGAGCCAGTTTGGCGTAAACTTTGTAGGAACAGCAAACCTGAAGAACGCCTCCTCACACAGGGTGACATCTAAAGGAAGGGGGCAAAATCAAGACGAGTTAACAGCTGTATCCCTTGACGTCTATGGGACAAACACCACAATGAAACAAAAGGCAGAATATGCTACGCCACCATGAGAGTGTAAGTTGAAATATCCTTCCGCTGCTCAATGTGGCAGAGATCAATTAGACCCGTAAACTATTTGGAGAAGAATTAATCATTGGAATAACATATTATTTAATGCACATATGACTTACGTGTGTATCCTGTTCTATCTGTGTCTATCCCTTTTAGGGAAATGAGCAAGAACAAACCTGAAGAATGCTTCCTTACTCAGGATAACATCAAAGAAAAGTGAAAATCAAGATGATTTACTCAACAGCTAGATTCCTGCAAGTCTTTTTACAAACATAAAACCAAACCAGGGGATAAAGACAGATAGGACAGTTTGCATTCAGTGAAAAAATAGTCAAAGGTAATAAGATGTCACTTCAAAAAGAGTTGCAGAGGTCCCAGTGTCTGGGAAAGTTCAACCCTGGGAGTAGGGCAAATCCAATTTGTCTTTGGATTCACCAGACCTGAATTTAAATCCTGGCTCTGCCATTTACTTTGCTTACAGACTTTAAACATAGGTTAGCATAAAATTTAAGGCTGATATAGTGATACACCTGGCACAAATAAGTGTGCTCATGATTGACTAAAAGTAAATTAAATATGCAATAAAGTACCAAGTCACTTCTTGCATTTGCCCTTCCATAACGTTTCAGCCATCACTGCGGCTTCCTAGGATTTGCATTGGAACGAAGCTGGAATGAACAGCAGCTACATGATTTAACCAGAGGGACTTTGGGGGGGGGGGAGGCTCTGTGCTTCTTAACTGCTAGGCAAAATGAAAGGGATAAAGTCAGGATTTAGGGTGCCATCTATGAGAAAATGAGAACTTCCTGGGAATTTTTACGCTATGACTTAACAATGGTGGCATAGAGAATGGTTTTAGCTAGCCATAAGGAAAGAAAAAAAAATGTGAGTTTAACTGAAGCTAAGGTGAAAAGACATACAAGCTGCACTTAATGAGAAACGATAGCACAAAATGGTAGCAAGGCAGATGTTTTAAAATGTAGTTACCTATTCCACATTTTTGAGTTGATTCGCTGCTCCCAGAACATACGCTGTCATGTGTCCCATTTCCTTTCTGAGTTAGCAGAAGACCAAGTGCAGTGCAATTTGTGTGCTTTCTACAGGGAGCTTTAGAAGACATCTCATTCGAGAAGAACCCATCTGGACATCTTTTGCAAACTGTATTTCGCTCTGGGGTTCCTATAAGAAGTATTAAGCAATTTAACACCTTCCCTAATACTCTCACAACAAATAGCCTCTTAAGACACTTTTGAAATAATTTTTACTTTTTCTTTACTGCTACTATTATGTTTGTACAAAACTTCAAGCATTTTCATGTTTCACTGCATTAAGCAGAGAGAACAAAACTTCTGCATTCAACCCCCGAGGCAGTCTCCCTTCCTTGAAATACAGTGCAAGTTTGTTTTGCTGTTACCTAAAAGCGCTCACAAAATAGAAAAGGCAAGAAAAACAGGATTCGTTAGTCCTGCCTCTCTCGAAGTGGCAGTAAGGCCTTGCTGTCAACCATATTCTTCACACAATTATTCCTGGAAAAATCATTAAGATAACTGCTGTGTGTCTGCTGTAATATCGTTCTTCGAAATCAGTATCCGTTGAATGTTGCATCATTAAGTTCCAATCAGTTCCCACCGAAGTTCTTTCTTGCCTGAGTCCTAATTGTGAAGCGATTCTTAAGTATGTTAACCTTGAGAAGTAAAAATTTACAGCATTATAATAAACTTTTGAAGGTGGTAGTAAAGTTGACTGCCGACTCCAAAGTGAAATACTGCAATAAAGCTGCGTGATAAATGGAAGGTAAAATACTATTTGCCTAAACTGTCAAGTGAAAGCACAGCAGTGAAAACTTCAAGATGGGCGATTGAGAGGACATTTTATTTCATGAAAGGAAGGTATTTGACAAATTCGGAGAAATCATTGATAGGAAAATATTGACTAAGCATCAACTAAAGACGCTACTAAGATATCTTCAAACACTTGACTTACAATAGACCATACATTATGTGTGTTTGCATATGAAAATATCTCCATCTAGTGTGAGTTAGTAGAACAGATTTCTATTTCAATATGCAAATGCACATTTTACAGGGGCAATTTTGTCTTTATTTTGCAAGATAACAAATACAAAATGAAAAAAAAAGTTATTAAAACCTCATTTGCTAAAAATGTCAATATCCCAAATCAATGCATTTATTACCCAAACCAGAAAAAAGTGTGTGTGTGGGGGGGGTGGGAGTTGGGGTGGAGGAGCAAAATGGATTGGGTCTGAGTTCATCTCCCATTTCTTTTCTCTAGCTGATGGTTCACTGATCCGTAAAAATGGCAAAACCACCACCTAAAATCTTTCCGTATTTCCTGGATTTTAGTGACATTTTCTTAGGAATCACCATGTAAAGCAAACAGAATATTTTTTAAATAACTCTTTTACCACATCCCTTTCCTTGAACTCTACACACAAAACTGTATTACAAGTGGACATATTTGAGCAGGGATTCCCTGTCATCTTGCATTGCTAATTTATTGGGAATCGCAGAACATATAGTCCAAGATCACTGTTTCCAGCTGTCACATGTTCTGTACAAAAATCTGTATGTCACTCTTGCGATACCCACCGCTGTGGCTTAGGTCTTCTCATGAGAAGGCATTAAGAATCAATTATCCGTTTAGGTACGTTAGGTTTTAGGGTTCTTTAGTAACAGAAATCCAAGAATGACAGAACTCAAGTTCATAATGTATTTTCAGGCTTCATTTAATGGTTTTTCTCAATAGGACTTCCCTCTTAATAATTGATAGAATTTTATATAAGGTAGTCATTCTGCCTTATTAGTTTCAGTAGGAATATAAAAAAATACCATCTACCAGGCAACATGTGAAATATTAAAATGATGAGAGGATTTCATCTTTTAGTGAAGAATTTTCCACACTCGATGTAAGTGATTTCATAGGTATTATAGATCTAACTAGCAGACAGAATAAGAATAAAATATGAAGAGGCAACAGCCTGATTTCCAAACAGCAGCAACAAAATAAGAAATGATTGAGTGATTCTTAAATACCTCTTAAAGCAACATCACACAACCCTCCCTTCTTCTGGTGCTGGAAACCTCTTGTTTTTCAAGAGGAAGCACCATGTCAAATTTCAGGGAGGCAAAAATAAATAAACTGCACTGTAGTGCCAGAGACAAGACAGGGCGCCTTTGTGTCTTTTGATTTCTGCTTACTTTATTCCACAAATGTTCATGTTTATATGCAAAAAAAAAAAATCCTTGCTATTCCCATTTTTTAAAAAATGTCTGGTTTACAAGTTGCATTAGTCCATGCTAAATTGATATATTTTTTTAAAGTATAGGACTTACTAAATAGAATTCAATGGGTTTGCTTTTGTGGGCTGTACCATAGCTTAGCACTGGGCTTTTAAGCTCTCATCTCCTGAAAAGCAGCAAATGTCACCAAGTCCTTCCTCAAATGGTCATCTTGGAGATATTTTAAGGATCTCCCATACAATTTTCACCTCTTGTTATTGATTTTATATGATTCATTATTTAGGAAATGGAATAGGGGATTTAACATTTGAAGATGTTTCCTTTGCATGCCTTTAAACCTAAGAGATGTGTCATTTAGTATTTTTGACATATGTGTCACATTTGCAAGTGATGAGTCAAAAACAATTAACACCTAGTAAACTAGTGCTCCCCAAACACAGGCGATTTTATCAGCCCATGTCAAGCCTGTGTTGTCTGTCACGGGGGAAGATGCCAACTGTTGGCATCCAGTGAGCGGAGGCCAGAGATCCTGGTAGATTCTGCACACTACACAGGACAGTTGTCTGGGATTGTACGTTTCCAGCTGTCTACAGGGCTGAAGCTGAGAACCACGGCTTTATACTAAAGAACCGGAATCTATGCTGATGCCAACTCCTACCAGCTCAATGAGTGAATACTCTTAATTTTCCCAAGCCATAAGAAGTTATAAGCGCCATTGAGGCTTCCAGAAAAGGCAGGTTGTGGCCTTAAAAAATTACTGGATCTGAAAACTACAGTGTTCAAAATGCAAAAAGTAGAAAGCGCTTTGTTTATAGACAAAGACCCACCATTTGTTTGATGATCTGCTTTGTCCAAGATTTAAAAAAAAAAAATAGGTGCATTGAAGAGAGGCCTCAATGGGCTTTATCCTCCGAGGCATTCAATTCCCAGGCCAAAGGAAGAAGTAGCTTCATTTTTTAATAATGACATGCATTTCTCCTAGCTATTCTCCTTTTTTTTAAAAAAATATAATTAATTATAACTGCTCATTGTTAGCACTCCAGAGCCTCATTAATACCAGCATAATTACTCCCTTGGTATCAATTAGTATTTCTGATGTTTGTCAGAAAGCACTGCAGTTTGAAGCCGCCCGTACTGTAGTGAAACATAGAGGTATATATCAACCACCAGCCGTGTGACTCAGGGTATGTTCTCTTAAAGAACAATTCATCCTGCTTTTCGTTCATTTGCTGCGTTTGAGATTTATCGCTAAATTGCCCTCTAGTGGTAAAGTATTCCTCCGAGAAGGTGGTCTTTTGGAAGTCTTCCAGACACACAGGACATACCTTGCTCTTCTCCTTCCTGTTGGTAATTTTCTATTCTTTAATTTTTATCAGGACAACGTATCTCCCCTTCCCTTTCAAGGCCGTCAGACCTTGCACAAGCCTCACTGATGTTGCTGCATGCTGGAAAATGACACATACCAGCTTGTACCACTCCAAACCCCGGGGGACAGCGCCGGTGTTTCAAGCAGAACTCCACTTCGAGGTAGCGTCCTTCCTCGCATTCGCACACACGGTTGTGGGTGCGATTGCATTCCTGCTTGACGTGCTGCAGCTCCTTACACACTGAGCTGCAGTACAGACATTCTTCACTGGTGTGCCAGCTGTCTGTGTAGTAGTGGTCCGGGCAAGGGAGACACAGAGTCTCACGCTCTGATGTACAGTGCTGCTTTAGGTAGGTGCCAGGAGGACATTTGTCACACAGAAGCGGACGAGAGGTTTCTGGGTCAGAATGAAGGTATTTTGGAGGAAAGGTTTCCTGCATGGTCCACTTAACGGAGATGTCCAGGAACTAGAAGGAGAAAGGAAATAGCAGCATCTTAGCATGGGAATGGGACTTTTCTCTGACCTCCTTAGCCCTATTGCCCTTCCTGTCTTCCTGCTATTGAGTTGCACCACAAGCTTAATTGCCTCCAATAGCTTAACCTCAAAGACCAACGATGTGGACCCCAACACCCCATACTAAAGTACCTAGATTTGAATCATGGCTACATTTCCAACTTCAGTTTAGGCTAACTTGAACCCTGAGAAACAGCAGGTGTGACTTAAATAACTGAGTCCTTGCCACTATATGAGTGGGAGAGTACCCAGGAGACTGGGCTGTGCCCCTAGGTCTTAGTTTCAGCATAGCATAGCCACAGCTGTTGCAGGCATTGGAGGAATCGCTCTCTCTGACATAACAAATCAATGACAAGATAAGCAAATAAATTTTAAAAATAAAAATGAGGTGGGCAAATGATTCTAAACTTACGCATTTTGCAATAAAAGTAACATGATAAATAAATTATAGATTAGAACACAAATATTATAAAAAAGTAAACAGCAGATAAATGAGAGGAGAAACATAAAAATGAAGAGAGGAGATTATAATTTCTGCATGACTGGACACGAAGCCCTATTTAGGACTTGCTAAAGTCTCTAAGTTTTCCCATTCTAAGACTTGATGATTCTAAATATCGCAGTAAAAATCTGTTGATACGTGAAGGTGCCTGATTACATCAACAGTCTTTCTTATCACTCATCGATTCATGCAATAGATAGTGCCAACTGTCCCACTGAGGGAGGAATCAAGAAGCAGGAACATGCAGACCAGAGACTTGACCCTGCTCTCGTAGACTTATAATCCTCCAGAAAGATTCAAAGAATGTTAAGAACCCATGTCTAGAAAATTAAGCCTTTTTCCAAGTTAATAAGGAAACGTTTCAGGGTCCAGAGAGTGTTTTGGCTTCCTTACAAAGTCAGGAAGAGTTCTGTGTGGCAGGAGAAAGGATTTCACAGGCATAGACAGTTCTTGGGAGCACAGCTCCGTATGGACAGATCCCAAAAATTCTTACAGGGAGAAGCCAAATAGTTTCACATGCTAATTACAGGAAATACATGCTCAGAAAAAGTTTTTTTATGTGTACATGGGGTAGTTTGTTTGGCTTTTCTTGTTTACTTTGGTGTAGAGATCAACACTGACTATTTTCAGGCTCTGGGGAGGTGGCAAGCCAAAACATCATAATTTTTTCCAAGTACTGTTCTTTGCAGAACATCGGAAATTTCACAGAAACCCCCTGACTAAAAAAGTGTGCTACACTAAGTTAACAGAATTCCATTTGGAATTGAAGATGGCAAAGACAGAGAATGCCCTTTTTCACAAGTGTTCAGACATTTTCATATAGGTAACTTGATTTTTTTACAGGAGAGTGACATGTATCTGGCCTGGTTGCACGTCATGTGAGTCAATAAAACAAAGGAAAGGAACTAAACCTGCCTGGTTTAGTTCTTGATTCTCTTCAGGGGAAAGACTTTTTCAAGACAGTGCTTTGATGTGAGGGACTCTGAATCAATGTCAAAGCAGAAAAAAATAAAGTGCAACATTGAAGCTACTTCTGATCGTTTCAGGAATCCCTGTGGATCTGATGGGTTCTGGATGCTTGCACCTTGGCCTGGAATCTTTAAGCTCAGTTGGAGTGGGTTCCCATGAAGAGAAGGAAATGGACAAATAGTTGGCAGAAACTTTGATTTGGCCTGTGTGTTTCAGAAACAGGGTAAGTCAATAAGAATCTACGAGGCATCCACATTATACCACACAGCAAAGGAGAAACTTAGCAAATCATGGTGCATAACAGACAGGAGCTTTGTCTGCAGGCACCTCACAGTTGGGTGAAGAGGCAGGCAGTAGAAAAAAGAGAAGGAACCAAACACACATTATTATAAAGTATGACTAATGCGGGAAAGATGATTTGATGTAATTCTTACTCAAGGGTGATTGGACTATCTATTGTGGACATCTTTCAAAGCTTCTTGACTGAATTAACCCCAACATTTCTAACATCCTCAATGCTTTTCTTACACAAGTTGTTAAGACACTTAACAGCAATGGGAAAAACTTTTTTCCCCTCTGCCTTTTAGCTTTAGATTTCCTGGAAAGCCACTTTTGAGGGTTCCATCTGCTTTCAAGAAGTCTGATTCAGACATCCAGGAGGAGTCCTCTGTGTTGAATGCTACTGGTAAGTGAGTCCCATCTTGGTAGCTTGCACTCCTTCAAGACTCCTCTCGAGCCCTACTCTCATTTGGCGCACCTTTAACAAGACTCAGGGGTGGCGTTTATTCAACAGTACTGCTTCTTTTATTCTGGAGAAATCAGGATGGGATGGAAAGACCCAAGGGAGTAGTGCCCATATTCTTTATAAGAAGGGGCCTCACAGATACAGACATATTTTGCAAAAAAAAAAAATATATATTGATACAAATTATACTTTTCTAGTTTATTAAGCATGAAATTTGCTGTTTCTAAATGAGTTGTCCTTTGTTTAAAATACATTTGGATGAAAGAACTCCACATAGAAAAATAATTATGGATGACTTAAGGATTATCTAGTGAGGATGATTTCTAAGGTCCCATATGGATTTACATGCAATTTCTAAAAATCAGAAAGCTTTCTGGAGCTATAAACTTATTTTCAACAAATAAGAGGCCTCTGTGTTTTATTTGAAAATTTTCCACTTGGGTAAAAGACAGAACTCTGTGTGGCCAAAATTGGATGCTTAGGTCTCAATTTTTGGTTAGCCCCAATTCCCACGTAGAATTTCTGGAATCAGTTACTGGACAGAGGATGAACAGGATGAACAGAAAACTTTTTCTGAGCCCATATTCTTGTGTCCTTTTTCCTTTTCTGGAGAAACATTGATACATTTGCCATACTTTCAAGCATTTTGTATCAGGTATTGGTTCTTTGAGACAGCTGATATTTAAAACCTATCATGCGTTTTAAAATAAATTTCCGTATGAGATGTAAGTCCCCAAATAGTCACTGAAAAGCATTAAACGCTGTCTACAGAAGTATAAAATGCTTTCTACAGAGAAAGGCACTTGTGCATGTGTGTGCGTGCGTGCGTGCGTGTGTGTGTGTGTGTGTGTGTGTGTGTGAATGCTTAACATTAAAGGGAAATTAACTAGAATTACTCCTGTAACCTTTGTATTTTTTACTGTCGCTTTCTACCATTTTCTGTATCCATCCTTTGATGGATACAGAGAATATTTGTGCTTGACAGGAATCTTACAGTTTCCTACTCTGATACTTCCTACCCATTCAAGATTTTTCCCTGAAGTCCCCATGCCTTGCCTGCTGGGAGGACAGGAAAAGTTCCATCTATAACATGTTCTCCCTTCGCTCACTTTCTATTCTTAATGTTGAGAACTGTACTATATATATATATATATATATATATATATATATATATTAATTTCAGGTGTAATTACCTTTTCTCACCTATCAATTTTCTGCAGATGATCGTAGCAGGTAAAGATCATGATGACCTGAATATGTTTCTCTCCAATGACTTTTGTTGCTCCGCCATACCACCTTTTGAAATGATGGTTAATGTAGCCAGGAAACTTAGAACCAAATGTCTTGCTCTAATTCCCTTCATACTTCTCATGCAACTTTGTTTTATTTTTGAAATATCCCTTTATACAGAAATACACCTTCCCAATCTCCAATTCTTAGATTTACCCATTTATTCCATTCCATCTGTAAAATCATTTGATGTTAATTATTTCTTCTCTCTAGCACACCAGTGGAGCATATGCTTTTTAAAAAAGTCAGTTGAATGTATATTTTTGAATCCTTTTTGCTTCCTAGTTGTACTTACAGCTACAGTTAGGCAATCCAATTGAATGTTATGTAATCAAACAAACAAGGGTATAGAAAAATGAATTATTTTGTCACAAAATCTATATTCTCAGAATACCTTGATAAAGATAAAATCTTGCTCCTCAAAAAAAAAAAACACAACAAAAAACAACCATCTATAAAATTTAGAGAACATGTGACAAGAGTAAAACAGAATGTGGAAAACATCTAAGAAGATTTTAGCATTGATCATTTTCTTAAGTGCATTCAATCTTCAGAATTACATTGATGCAGTGAGTTAAGCCGCCACTTGTGCTGTCAGCATGCACTTTCAGAGCACCATTCTGAGGGATGCCTCCACAGATATCCTGTTTCCATCTAGTGCACCTGGCAAGGCAGTAGAAGATAGCCCAAGTGCTTGAGCCCTTGCCACCAACAGTCCCTGCTGCCTGGCCAAGACCAGACTATTGCAGCCACATAACGAGTGAACCATTAGATGGAAAATTCTCTTACACACATTCTCTCTCTCCCTCTGTCTCTCTAATAAACAAAATGAACAAATCTTAAAAAAAAAAACACCTGAATGGTAGGGGCTGGCATTTGTATTACAGTAGGTAAAGGAACCATTTGTGATGCCAGCAAGTCATAAGGCACTGGTATGAATCCCAACTGCTTGGATTCAACCCAGCTCCCTGCTAATGGCATAGGAAGGAAATACAAGATGATACAAGTGTGGACCTCTGTATCCACATTATACACCCAGAAGAAGCTCCTGGATTCTGGATCCTGGATCCTGGCTTGTGGCTTCTGTCTGGCCCCACTCTGGCCACTGTGGCACTTTGGGGAGTAAGCCAACAGAAGGAGTACATTTATCTCTTTCTCCCTCTATGTAGTTCTGCCTTTCAAGTAAACAAATGAAATTGTAAATGGGAATTTGTAAAAAGACTTTGTAAAAAACGTAACATAAGGTTCTATTTATCAGTTATGGGATCCAAGAATCTTGACCATATTGCAAAATATGGATGAACTGATATTTATTGAATGTTTCAAGTCAAATAAAATATTCAAGTCAAATAAAATAAGACATGTATATATTTTTTGATATTGAACTATCTATATAGCTTTATGCTGCTAATAACCAACTTATTCACCTGTTGGTCCCCAAACTATA